GAGAGAGAGAGAGAGAGAGAGAGAGAGAGAGAGAAAGAGAGAGAGAGATGAGGATGATGACGTGAGGGCACGCACCTGGTGCTGGCCATTGTCTACAAGGGTCTAAATCTTCATGTACTTCGATTCTGGTGCTGACGTCAACAGTTGCAATGTCAATTCGTAGGCAGGTAGTAGCTGCGTGATAGTCATCTGGGTGCCGAGCGCCAAGTAGGAGAAGGGCTCTGCATACTTATGTTGGTGATGGCGAGAGTGTGCTCTCTCATTAACGCTAGGATTCAATGTTTTGGTTCTCCATTGGTGTAACATTGGTGCAATTTGTACAGTGTCGAACTTCCTGACTTTCAATGTGATTTTGCAATCTCGAATCTGTCATTTCGCTATTGCTCATTTTCCTTGCACACCTTTTATTCAAACAATAAATAATCTCCCTAATACTTAGAGGGAAAACCGGTCCTCAGAAAGCTCGCCCTCTCCACCCTCTCTCGGGCACGCAGTCCTCTGGTCACGCTGGCGCATCGCCCCCTGAGGTCCCTCAGCAGGACCTCCCTCAGGCCCTCGTCCCTCCTCGCAGTGCCCTTTCCGCTGAGGAGCGCGTGGCCATTTTGGGCCACACGTGGGTGCTTGCGCTGCCGCCAGGATGGTCATACCTCCTCGTGGTGCCCTTACACCGCCGCCCTCAACCGCCACTACGCTCAACTTTCCCACCAGCGCCGTGCTCAGTCCCCGCCTGGCTCCTCGCATCCCCGCAACGCCTCCTAGCCACGGTGTAGCGTACACCTGCGCCCTCCTTAGTAGTCGGCTTCCCGACATCTCCGTCGTGGTTTGCCCCTCTCGCTTCTGGAGTTGAGATATCGCAGGACCCGACAGAGTGGACTCAGCCTTTTGTCGCAATACCGTCTACGGCTCCGCAGACCACCGTCTCCCCTCCTACCTCTTCGCGACTACCGACGCGTCGAGCCATTCACTTAGCCCATTGCAACGAGCAGCTTGCGACTCGCGAGGACGTTGTGTCCTCCCTTCTGGACTTGAGCATGCTCCAGGCTCGTCAGGAGCGACTCACCCTCCATGTCGCTGCACTGCGTCGCCTTCTCGCCATCCTCTCTGACCCTGATCGCACCCTCCTGATCATTCCAGTACGACTCGGGACCTCCACGAGGGTGTACTTAGTGTTGTGGGATTCCGGTTCTCAGTGCGACTTCATTCACCCACGGGTGGTGAAGGAAGCACGCTTACCCACGACAAGGTCTTCGACTCCCATCTCCGTCACCCTAGGAGATGACAAAACCCGGCGCTTCTTCGATCAGACGGTCACCGACCTCCCTTTCTTCCTCACTCTGGAGCCGACTGATCATCCCCCGACGTCTCCTCGCCACCAGTCCTCTGCACATTTCGATGTGATGGAGACGGGGTACGACTTCATTCAAGGGACTCCGTGGTCTTGTAGGTTCCAAAGCACCGAGGCCGATTGGGCGACCAACACTCTCGTTCTCAGAATGAAGTGTGGACAGACGTATCGCGTACCTTTCATAGGTACCACGACGACACCATGTCCCGATCCTCCTCCGCCGAAGCCTTCCACGCCCACACCATCTCCTACTATCACTGTCACCTCACCTCGGCAGTTTGCCCACTTCATCCGAGAAAACAACGTCACCTTCTTTACAGTGAACGTTACGGATATCTTGCATTATGATCCACCCTATCCAGACGTCGAGCTCATCTCTCTGGAGCGAGATCCTCCTTCTATCTCCATGGCTACCCATCTCCGGCGCTTCTTCGATCAGACGGTCACCGACCTCCCTTTCTTCCTCACTCTGGAGTTGACTGATCGTCCCCCAACGTCTCCTCGCCACCAGTCCTCTGCACATTTCGATGTGATGGAGACGAGGTACGACTTTATTCAAGGGACTCCGTGGTCTCGTAGGTTCCAAAGCACCGAGGCCGATTGGGCGACCAACACTCTCGTTCTCAGAACGAAGTGTGGACAGACGTATCGCGTACCTTTCATAGGTACCACGGCGACACCACGTCCCGATCCTCCTCCGCCGGAGCCTTCCGCGCCCACACCATCTCCTACTATCACTGTCACCTCACCTCGGCAGTTTGCCCACTTCATCCGAGAAAACAACGTCACCTTCTTTACGGTGAACGTTGCGGATATCTTGCACTATGATCCACCCTATCCAGACGCCGAGCTCATCTCTCTGGAGCGAGATCCTCCTTCTATCTCCATGGCTACCCATCTCTACTTCCCTCCCTCCGCCGTCCGTCGAGTCCACCTCATCGTTAGGCGCCGACGCTGATGCTGACGAACTCGCACGCTACACGGTCGACCTGGAGCCCGCAGTTTGTGACCTCATTGGAGAGTACCACGACGTTTTCCCATCGTCGTTCTAGTACACCGTCATCCCACCGATGCGCGACGTCGAGCACTCCATCCAGCTTGTGCCTGACTATCGTGTTCACCACCACGCACCTTACAGACTCTCGATCCCTAAGGCCACTGACCTCGAGCGTCAACTTGAGGAGCTCCTGGGACTGGGTTTCAACAAACCCAGCAACTCCCCGTGGGGTGCACCCGTCCTCTTTGCTCGCAAAGCGGATGGAACTCCCCATCTCTGCATCGATTATCGCGGTCTCAACCGCTACACATTTAAGAACAGCTACCCCATGCCTCGTTCCGACGAGTTGTTCGACCGCCTAGCAGGCAACCGCTTCTTTACGAAGATTGATCTTTATAGCGGTTACCATCAGATCCTCGTCGCTACAGCGGACCAACCGAAAACAGCGTTTCGATCGCGCTTCGATTACTATAAGTTTACGGTGATGTCATTCGGCCTCACCAACGCACCCGCTACCTTCCAAACGACGATGAACGACATCTTCAGGGACATCTTGGAGCAGTACGTTCTCGTCTATCTCGACGATATCCTGAGCTACAGTCGTACAAAGCATCTCAGACACCTCCGCGACGTCCTTGACAGCTTGCGCAGAAATGGCTTCTATGCCAAGCTGCGCAAATGCCGCTTTGCCCAACACAAAGTGGATTTCTTAGGACACTAGTCTGACTAGGGTCTCCACATGAACGACGTGAAGATCACTGCTATTGCGGAGTGGCCCATCTCCATATTCGCCAAGCACCTTCACAGTTTCCTAGGCCTAATCACTATAGTAATTTCATCCAGGGATACACTAGGTATTCCTACATCCTTCCCTCTACCCTCCTTCGGAAGAACCAGCTATGGGCTTGGACACCCCTCCACGAGGACGCCTTCTGCACCCTCAAGAAGGCGGTGACATGTGCACCGGTTCTCCACCTACCCGATTTTGATCGCCATTTTATTCTTACCACCGATGCGTCAGACTTTGTTGTAGGAGCAGTGCTTTCTCTTATTTTCCCCTTCTCTCCTGATTCCTCTCATCCTCGCATCCCTCACTTCCCATCCCCTACCCCTACCACTGCTTCCCGCCTGACGCCTACTCGTCCAGCTACTGACGAGCCTTCTATTGATTATTCTCCTACCATCATCGAGGACGACACTGTCGAGTCTCGCACAGGTGATTGTCCAATAGCCTTCTACTCTCGTCAGCTCCTGCCTGTCGAGATAAACTACACTGTTGATGAACGCGAGGTTCTCACAGTAGTTCATGCCACTCGGCACTGGCGTCACTACCTGCACGAGGCACCATTCACGGTGCGCACAAACAACTCTGTTGTCCAGGCTTTTCTGACAAAGCCGAAGCTCACTCCTCGACAGGCTCACTGGTGGCGTGACCTATCCGAGTTTAGTTTCACCATTGAGCACATCAAGGGTGAGACCAATCGGGTCGCAGATGCCTTATCCCGACGCCCTGACCGTAATCTGGAGCAGATTCAGCTCGCTGCCATCTCGGTCACCATCGTCCACCACTCGGTGACCGACGAGTTTCGCACTCAGTACCGCTACTACCCCGACTATTGCGACATCCATGCGACCCTTCGGAGTGGCAAGACCATCCCGAACTACTCTCTCGGGGACAATGGTATTGTGTACTCGCACGGTTCACAGAGCACCAGAGAGCCCCGCATTTGCGTTCCCTCCACTGGACAACTACGTGTCCAGGCATTCGCAGAGTTCCATGACGAGGCAGTCGCCGGTCATTGGGGCTTCCACAAGACGTTGGCTCGTGTGAGCCGCCCGTACGTCTGGCCGAAGCGCAAGGACTTTGTGAAGGACTATGTCGCAAAGTGTCCCACCTGCCAGGAGGCGAACAGTGTGAACCATTTGCCTTATGGTTTGCTCCAGCCTCTTCCTATCCCTGAGGGTCGTTGGCAGTCCATCTCGATGGACTTTATTGGTCCTCTTCGTCCTCCTACCCCCCTCGGTCATGATGCTATCCTGGTCGTCGTTGACCTCTTCACGAATCGTGCACGCTCTGTTCCATGTCGCTATGCCATCCGTGCACTTGAGGTCGTCGACATCGTGTTTGACCGAGTTGTGAGTGATCACGGCTTACCCCTGAGCATCATATCTCACCATGACCCGCGCTTTACCAATTGATTCTGTGACGGTTCCACGAGGTATACGGCACCAAGCTCCACTTCTCCTCGTCTTACCATCCTCAGACTGATGGTCAGACCGAGGTCACGAACAAGACTCTTGGAGATATTCTCTGAAAGATTGTTCGTGACGACCAGCAGTGGGATCTCCATCTTGCCCACGCGGAGATAGCCTACAACCACGCCGTCTCGCCAGCCACAGGGATGTCGCCTTACCATTGCGACCTCGGCTATCACCCGTGTGTTCCCGCGGACTTCCTTCGACCGTCACAGGTGCACCCTGACACGAGTTGTCCAGCGCAGGATTATTGGGTTGCACGCATGATGTCGATCATGAAGACCACCATACCCATGGCCGCCTCCCTCACTCTTCACTCTCGTAGGCCGAGGCTACGGCGGACTACTTGGGCCATGCCCTGCTGTGCAAAGGACAACGCAAAGCAGCTATGGCAGCTCCAACTCAGGCTGCCATGCCTTACTCTGCCTCGAAGCTTCTTTGTGTAGCTCTCCCCAGCTGGGGTCTCCCTGCTGCAGCGCCCACCAAGGTGATGAAGATGGCTGCCACCATATCCAGGTAAGTACCTCTGGCGCTCCTCCCCCTTCCTCTCCTCCTTCCTCCTCCAAGTGCTTCTTCCCCAGCAGCACTGCTCCAGCCAGCGCTCCAACCAGTGTGTCGCCAAACTTGCACACCGACAATGAGGCTGGGCTCTTTGCCCGGCCTAGAGATATAGCGGCTTGCTAGCCTCTCGGGCGGTGACTTCCAGGCCGCTCGGCCTTCCAAGCAACCGGTACCTCCTCACTTTCGGAGGGAAACATTATTGCAGACTCTGATATTGCGCGTACAGGCCCTAAACTCAGACTGGTACCCACCTAGACGTAGCCTACAGCTATTGGGCCTCCAAAAATGCCACTTTTGTCTTCTTCTGCTCGGCGGTCTTCAGTACCCGGCACATCTACCGCTTCAGGGTGTGGTGCTGGCCTACCTGCGACTTGAGTGTTTCCCCCCGCTGCAATCCTCAATGCCACGGCCACAGGAAGTACCGGCCCTGAGGGCCCAACGTACGAACAAGTGCCCTTACGGGCCACACACACACTCAAGCCAACCAGCACTCAAACAGACATACAGTTCAGCAAGCGTGCACACACACAGACTTAGTAGCAAGCGGGAAACTCAGCAAGGCATTCAGTCCATGAGCATAACTCAGAAATCAGCTGTGTGTTTCAGTCCACGTTTGGTCGGGTCATCACATAAATGCATTCCCATGCCGGTGCAGAAGTCATCATAGCTGCCAATGAGGCAAACAAAAAACATTGATAAGCATTGGCATGCTGTCCTCCAAACAGGTGAGTTCATCCAGCACTTCCGCCAAGCAACACCCCTCAATCCATGCCATGCGTTCCAAACAGAAAAAGCCAGCAGGCATCCATCCAAATGTTCCAACAGCACAGCAAGCATATGTTCCAGCATTGCCAGCAGGGATAATGACAGATGGAAAAGAGCAAACAGCTCAAACAGACACTGTCACAGGGGAGAGAAAGAGAGGGGAGGGGGGGTTGGGGGGGGGTTGAGGGGGGGGGGGCGCAAGTGCATTGAATTTCAACCACTGGACATCATTGAACATTCACTATTTGTAGTTGCATTTAGCAATGGATGTCATGCACTCATTATTCGCAACTACGTAATAGTGCGAGGATTTAGTACCTCGGCAGTGTCTGAAAGTGTCGTGCCCGCCCTAAGTGAAGGCGGGCCTGCAAATATGTGCCAATGCCTGTTTATAGGGCTATGAGACCAAACTGAGGGGCCCAAGCAGAGCCTGTTGTAAATCCCATGTGGGCATGGATCTTCGACAAGGCTTTGTTACGAGTTGGACTCCTTGGCATACCCCTGTAGGGCCCTTTCAGCAAGCATGAGCCCGCCCTAAGTGAAGGCAGGCCCCTGAATTTCAATATGGCCTGAGTTCATCAATTTTGGCAAAGTTTGGTGGGCACCAGACAGTTGCCATGCGCCAGTTGGTTTCATCCTCCATACTCGTGAGAATCATAAATAATTCTTGAGCCTTCTAGGCTCTTCCAGCAGCACAGGCAAAGCAGGGAGAACCTCGCGTTTACTCCTGGATGGTTGGGCAGGCTCAACCAATTCGGTCCCAGGCCACTATCTGAATGGGCCTAGGCGCAGACACTTTGGCCCGATTGGAAGCTAATGGAAATACACAAGGCCCAGCCAGGGAGCAGACTGGGCGAGCACTTTCCATAAAGGAAAGAGCTCGCCACTGGTGAAGGCATTTGGGCACTAGGCAGTGCATACGGCGGTGCTGCTTGAGCGTGCGCTCGCGGGCTGTGCGCTGTGCACTAGCGCTAGTTGCCAGGCAGTGCGCACGGCCGCTGGAAGAAGGCAGGGCGCTGCCAAGGGCAGCGCCATAGCCAGCCCTATATAGCCAGGGTTTGGCTTGGACAGCCAGTGGAGGTGGTGGTGGTCTTCGTGCATGAGAGAGAAGACGTGGGAGGAAGACAAGGACAGGGAGAGACAGGGAGAGATGAGGATGGTGATGTGAGGGCTCATACCTGGTATTGGCGATGGTCTGCATCCTCAATTCGTAGGCAGGAAGTAGCTGTGTAGGGAGTGGCCTGGGCGCTGAGCGCGAAGTAGGGAGAGAGGGCCTGGATACGTATGTTGGTGGGGACGAGAGTAAGCTCTCATTGACATTCGGTTTCAGAGTTTCGATTCTCCATTGGTGTAATATTGGTGCAATGCTGCTTTCTGGACACTGTGGGACTTTCTTGCTTTCAATGTGATTGTGCTATCTGGATTCTGTCATCTCGCTATCTCTCATTTTCCTTGCAATTTGGTATCGGAGCTGGTTCAAACCACTCCGCTGGTTCCTTCGCAATAGCTGTTTGTTGCTTCGTTGGGAAATGGCGGGGCAGTGATAATGCTTGTGTGTTGGAGTAAGGGCGGCCCTGAGTTGGGAGGGCGCGCCTGGAAGGTTATGAGAGGAATATAATTGTTTGTAGGGGTCTGAAACTATCTGTTGTTACCGCTTGACTGCTTCCTGATAAATATGGACCATATATTTAATTTTATTCATTAAGCGGTTGGGTGCCACTCTGCGGTAGGTCCCAGCGAGGACACTAGTTCAGATTGCATGCCACGTGTAGCTGGGGCGAAGATGACAATGAGGTTGAGACATAGACTAGGATGAGGGGAGGATTGCTTGTGGACAGACACTTTGTCGGCTGACCACTTGCTTGGTGTCAAAGACCAGGCGAGGAAAGGAGACATCGGAGAGCAGCTAAAGAGAGTTGGGTCTCGCAGAAGGTACAGGTGGCAGCAGCCAACGCAGTGATGGCACTAGCAGCTGTAGTAGCAGCGCACGTTAGAGCCAAGGCCGAGGCAGCAAAGGCTACCGTTTCTGCAATGTCCCAGGTCTCTTCGATAGGTGTTAGTGAGGGCATATCAGGGCCTTGCACTAGTGAGTCTGTTGGCGTGCAGGACCGCTAGCAACAACCTTTGTCAGTGGAGGACGTTGAGATCAGAGAAACGGATGCCCTTCACACAGAGTTACAGCGCCAGATACAGGAGGTAGAGGATAGACGAAATAAAGCTAGAAGAAGAAAGCCTAGACTAGATGCGAGGGAGGTGGAACTAAACAGGTTGGAAGCTTTGGATGTGGAAGCTCCTAATAAGCGGACACTTAGGTTCAGTCAGTGTGGCCGAAGTACAGGCCGTGTCTTAGGGAATGCTAGCCGCATTGATAGTCGGTCAAAATTAAATTCTGGCTGCGCAGAAAGGCCTCAAGCCTACGGTGAGGCATGCGCAACCCGTTGTAGTTTCCCCCAGTGGTGGCCAGTGTGTCCGTGTCATTGCTGCCTACGAGTGGTCTCTCGGTACCTCAGTACGGCATATTTCCAGCAGGCGGTTCATCAGTAGATAGTGGTGGCAGACTCAGGATCCGCTTCATTTGTCCCCATATCAACTGCTGCAACTACGGTGCGGCAGCCGGGCCAGCGGCTTGTGCAGCAGGTTAGGCAACTTGTTCCAGGCACAAGTGGTTGGCCCACAGCCAGAGACACGCATCTAGAGAAGGGAGAAAATGTTGCTGCAGCAAGGTAGTTGGATGGGTAGGCACAGGGCGATGGACACAACCGTGATTTTGTTTCTTGGGCTAGGCCAGGTCTCTTGACCAGTTTCTGTTGTGGGGGGAAGAGATGAGACGAGAATGCTTGCAACTCATAAGTTCTCCGACATTACGAGGGAAACTAATTGTCTTGCTGGGGTCGCTGTGTAACCCTGTTCGCTTCGCAACTCACATTAGATACTTACCTATTGGAGAAGGAAGTGATTCCAATCAGGCTACAGACGATTCTTCTTCGTCTAAAGGGCTTGGACTACGAGGCCAACCCGGGATCGACGGAAGGACGATCTTGGGGTATAGACAAAGCGAGTAGGCGGCCATGAAACCAGAGGGAGGAGTGTTGGCCGTTTGTAGTTAGGCTGAGGCGACTGGTATGCGGAAGGGCAACCGGTCTAGAAGTCAAGGGAAAGGTCCTACTCTGTCTATAAGGATGAGAGAGGGTCTGGGATGTGTGGATAGACCGGCTTGAAAGGGGCACCAGCGAAGTGTAAGGCATGAATGGCCAAACCAAGGCGAGGGGTCCAGTCCAATTGGTCACCACGGGATGCAGCCCAAAAAGGGGTAAGGCACCTTCAACCTAGGGAAGCACTGCGAGCACTTCCTTGGGAAGCACATCCGACCTGTAGAAGTAGTAGCCGCTTCTGCTCTTGTTGAGGTGATGGAATCCCTTACCATCTCGAAAGACGACCAAGGTTACTGACTTCTTAGTCACCCCGCAGGCACATCTGGACCACATGAAGCTCTGTTCATGAGGTGTATCCGAGTCCTTAGAGGAGCTAGATGGTGAGACCTGCTAGCTGCCTGGGTGACCAAGTGAAAGGTTCCAAGGAACCGGTAGACAACAATGTAGGTGACCGTGGGGCTCGCAAACATTGTTCTACCTAAGACTACACTAGTCGCAATTG